TTGCTGGTAAAACTCAGCAGGTCTGGCAGCATCTGTGAAGAGAAATCAGTTAATATTTCAGGTCCAGCGACCCTTCCTCAGAACAACAAAATGACTTCTCCTCATTTTGCCAACTATCTTACTTCTGTGAATACAGGTTACAAACTCATCCCCCAGTGGAAACAAACTCTCCTTAACCACTCCACCTAAAACCTTCATGATTTTGAACACCTGTTAAACCTATAATGTTCTTTGCTTTAAGGAGAACAATCTCAGTTTCTGTCAGGTTGTTTGAGAAAATTCACTTTTTCCACAATTCCCACTTGGCTCTGGTTTAGCTTTGTATGTTACCAGGCTCTGGATGAGCTTGAATTGCATATTAACTTCTACCAGTGTCGTGTGAACACTAAAACTTTGAAAGGGCTTGGTATACATCAGTTTGCTGCTTGAAAAACAAACAAGACAGATCTGATAAGTGGGTCACATCTAGATCATCAAAACTCATCCTGTCTCTAAGCAAACGATAACTAAGAGCACTTTCTGTTTTTATTTCAAATAATGTAAATATTATTTAGACTTTATAAATGAATCATGATTTTCTTGAATTTCGGTCATTTGAGTTGCAGTAACAGTGCATTTACAACTCATGAAGAAAAACTCGTGGCATTTCCTTAACAAATGTGGAATATATAAATAACGATACAAGCTCTATTAAAATATAAATTCCTTCATTCTTTACAGTACTTTGAAGTATATTGTATAGGGACAGTCTTCAATCTTTGTTTGTTGACTGGCAAGTACAAAAGCTTTATGATGCATAAGTCTTGATGGAAATGATTCTTTTAGTTCTTCATTCACTTATAAAGAAAAGTTTTTTGACAAACTCATGATTTCAAATGAGTCATTTCTTCAAATATCATGGCACTCCTAAATGATTTGCTTCAATGCAAGAGATAAAAGTTTTATTGATTTTTATTGTTGTCTGCTTACCAAAGTTCACCATGCCGTAGTTAATAGTTGTTTAGTGAAGTATGAGTAGATGACAAATATGAGTACAAATGGAGAGGAAAGCCTGCCAACAGGTAAACGTGGTTGCAGAAAATTATGTTCAGTCCGCTGTGTTTTCCTTTCTTTAATTGTTGGTTAAAACCATCAAATGATGCTCTTATCAAAGGAAGTGCCTTAGAGGAGAAATCCTTTGAGAGACAATACTCAGGCAGAGGTAAATACACCTGCCTCAGAACTGTTCCTATCACACCATAAAGGAACTGAATGCCTGCAGTCATTCTCTCATAAAAGTACTGGCAAAACATGTAACCATCCCAAAGATCTCAAACTGCACACGTTCCAGAGGTGCTCCCCCTAGTGTTGCAGCACAAGTAAACATAGCCAGGTTGAACTTCCATCTTGCGCTTCAAAATAGTGCACTAGGATTATTTTACGTCCACCTGAGAGGGCAGGTGGGGCCTTGGCTTAGGGTCTCATCTGAAAAATAGCTCTTCTGATGGCACAACACCCAGCTGGCACAGCACAGGGGTATCAGCTCAGGTCTCTGGAATGGCCTAACTTAACCTTCTAATTCAGAGGCATATGTGCTTCTAACCTAACAAATGACACCTAACCTGAAAATCAACTATTTTTTCTTCTTAATGACCAGCCTGTCATGTGTACTTGCAATTATTTTGTTCTTCTTTATTATTCCATCTGGAAGAGCTACACAGAAGCCACAATACAACATATATATCAAAATCTTGTTGCGTTTTGTAGCATAATTATCTTGCTTGCTTCTTTTAAACATTTAGTCAACATAGCTCAGAATGAAATAGCTTCATGCATAACCTTGGACTTAAAAGTATGTAAATGCTTCTCTTTTTAAGTTTCAAGGTAACATGATAATAATTGAGACAGGATTGTGTGCTTACATTGACCTGTGCATGTGAGCAAGGAAATGACCATCCTATGCTGAGCAAACGGATCAAAGGTTTGGGAAGTTCCATCTTAATTGCTTTTCCAGTTGGTAATAGTTGTCATGTCAAATGACACTTCACAAAATACTGTATGTTACTAGGTGCCAGTGTATCTCAGGGGTAATGACCCACTCCAGATATTGGAGCACATAATCTGTATTAACATTTTACTGTAGGAAAGGGAGTGAGCAGAGTGAAAAGTGATGTCTTTCTGTGTGCTGTTAATCTGCAGCCATATCTGTCCTCTCAGGTGACTTTGAAAAATCTCATGCTGCTATTTTAAAGATGATCAGAGACGTTCTGGGAATGGCCCGGGCAATATTTATCTCTCATTTAGCATAACTAAATACAGATAATCTGGTCATCATCATGTTTGTGGGAGCGTGGTGTGTGCAAATTTGTTTCCTACAACAGTGACTACACTCAAGGATACTTAATTGGCCGTAAAGTGCTTTGGGACATCCAAACGTGGTGAAGGGTGCTAGAGAAATGCAAATTATTCCTTACTTTCACCAGGAAACCAAAGGTTGCAGACATTTGTGCACGGAGACCAAAAACTATACAGGGAATTCTTGAATTTATCCATCACCATATTTGGGACATTTTGAGCCACTGAAGGTACAACATGAATAAAGGTCCAGGCAGCTCTGTGACACAGGACTCTGTGCTCTACAGTCTGTTCCCCAGAATGCACACTGAGATAAACATTGACTGTGCCTGGAGGACCATCAACTCGGTGAAAGACACCCTTTGGTCTGCCTGAAACTTGATGGACTTCCAGAGCAAGGAGTTTACCCCAATTGAGTGTTGCAGACTGGCACATTCCAAGGTCCAGGACTTCGTGCTGAAGGATTCGCTAAAGCTTGGGGCAGTTGCCACCAAGGTGCAGTGGGGAAGACCATTGCCAAAGTTGAATAGAGGTCTGTTCAGTTATCAGACCCTCCCAATGCCCCAAATTTATGTAAATATAATCTTGTAGAAGTAAGAAGTGCCTTTGGTTTGTTTTCTGGACAAAGTCAAACTCCAGTGTTTGTTTGTTTATCTTCAGATGCTACTGTACAGAACCATACGGCTTTAGTGACTATGTATGTAAATGAAGATATTTTTATAAATTAAGTATATTTTTAATAAAAAGTTACACAAAACCTCAAAACACTTCTTAAAAATCCGCAGAATAATTCTCAATTTCAGAAATAAAACTGATCTGAAAATGCTCCAGCTAGTTGGTTATTGGGCTTTCATACTTTACAAGTTTAATTAACACCAATCAAAAGCAGAAAGTGGGTTGCGTTGACACAAAGTGTGAAAATTAAATCAGGTAGGAAGGCCTCACTCTCAACCTAGGTAAAAGGTAACCTCACCCATTTGGGAGTGTCCCTGTGTTTTATTGAACAGCTACTCCATGACGCTGGAGTTCAGACTGCAGTACAATTATTATACAGATACATTGAAATAATAACTAAGGTATTGGAATAAAGCAAACTTAAATAGCAAACTTGAGATTCTGAAAAGGCATAGGTGCAGAAGCATAGGTTCATCAGAACAATAGCGCAGCTCCAAAGGTTAGTTGGCAAAATTACTAATAAGAAGAGCCATTTTTAAAAAAAAAGTTAATCAAAGTACAATAGCTCAACAGCCACAATGCTGTTAGCCCTAAGTTGTCCTCAGTGTCTTGATCGATATTTATCCCTCAATCTGTATCATGCAAAAAGTCTGTCATTGAGAAATTTGTCTTCATTGGTGTTTGCTGAGCACAAAATGGCTGCTGTGTTTACAACAGTAACTATGTTTCAAAATGTATTTAATAGGCTGTAAAGCATTTTGAGATGTGGAAGGGTATCCAAGCTCAAATGATTAGTTTCTTTTTACATGAACACCAATAATAATGCCAAATAAAAGAGACCCATTTCAATAATATTTTAAAGGCTAAAATTAATTGAATGATAGTTTCTCACAAGTAGAATGTTATTAAAAGCTTAAAACAAAACAAAATGAGCCCTTTGATCAGCCAAAGGTATCATATTTAGTCTGTCATGAGCTCTGGAACGGAATGTTGAGGACTCCTGAGTTAGGAGAATGGGTTGCAAAAACTAGGCTTGTAGGATTGAGGGACAGTCTGATCATGGTGTATCAAGTCTTTGATACGTAGGTTCGGAAAAAAATATTTCCTCTGATAATTGACTCAAGAAAAATCTTAAAACTAGACCAAGGCCATTTAGGAGTGAAATTAGGAAATGGATTTTCACATTAAGGTTAGTGGAACTCTGGAATTCCTTTAAACACAAAATCTGCAGGTGCCGTGTCTTGGCTATTCAGTAGTGAGATTTGTTTTTTACAAAAGCAAGGCAGCTAAATGGGGGTGAAGTACAGATCAACGACTATCATGATTATGTGGGGCAATGGCCAACTCTCGATTCATATAGAACAGCACTGGCAGTCAGCACACAGAGGCGCTTCTTGCACAGAGATCAGACGGGGGCAGCAGAAAACAACTTGTAGCAGCATCCACCTGTTCTCCGGGACTGCGGCAGGTGTAACCTCAACTTGGCTCTATTGCAACACAAAGCGTCCGCGCTGAGTCAGAGTCTCCACACACATAGGAGCCAAAAAGCTGCGCTGGTGTAAGCGGGACGAGTCACACACCGAACTTGCCCTCACGGGTCTGCAGTGTTTACCATTTTGCAAGCTTTCAGTTCAAAAGAAATGGAAAACACACCCAACTCATGTTTTAAATTGCAACCCTGCAACATTCCCCGCGATAATAAAGCCATGATATTTGGCACATTATCTGCAATCATTACAAAACCTGTGGGTTAGAACTTTCTGGCAATGATTAATGGGAGGGATCTGGTTTCCCGGCACTAGCTTGGCGAGTTGGCCAATTTCCAGGTGTATAATGTAATGCATTCTCTCTATCTCCCTCCTCACCCTCTTTATGCAAATCTATCCTCAATGACCATGGCCCCGGCTCAGGTAGGAATTCCCCTGAAGGTGGAGTTTCTGGCTGAAGAGTTCACCTCGTGATTTCAAGCGATTTCTATATAAAGTAGCAAGAAGGTAACAGAAACAGTTCGGGTAAAAGATAGTGAACATGTGGATGTGAGAGTCTGCAATCCATCAGGGTGCAGAAATTTGAAAGAAAAACCCTAACTATTCTGAAGTGACCTAAAGTACGGATTACAATTCCTGCTTTTGAGCGGATCTTCAAGGTAGGTATGACCGTGCAAACGGCGAGAGTGCAAAAGCAGGCTGCCGTTATGAAATTGATTGAATTCACTCAATTTCAGCTTGCAGAATTTTTGCTCTTTCTCTGAATGGTGTTTGAGGTCTACACAGTGATGCGTGCTACTCCGGATTTTAATACATCTTCCCTGTCTTCAGGAGTTGTTATGGCTTCAACCTATGGGATTGGGAATATTCTGACGGATGTGATGCGCTCCATGTACCAAACAGAGGAGAATCAGCTTCTCTCCACAGGAGCTAAGGAACAGCTTCCCAGCCCAGTGCTACCAACAGACCTGCTCGGTAAGAGACTGAGAGCCAACTGAGTGAAAAATGGCGGGGATGGGGAATGTGAGAGAAATACATCTTGAAATAAAGTGCTTGAGACCAATTGCTGCTTTTTTTTCTAATTTATATAAGTGTCTTGATACAAAGTGTGAGCTAAATCAGACCATTAACAGCTCAAGAGTATCCCCGAGAGATCAAGATAGTCCCCCTCTCTTTCGACTGTTGCTATTTATTTGATCAACTGTTTCAAAATTTAACTAAAACTAATTTCAAAACTGGGACGATTTTGACAGTAATTAGTTGTCAGTTTCTTTTACGAAAAAAATCAACCGCGGGTGCTGGAGATCTGAAACGAAAACTGAAATTGCTGGAGAAACTCAGCAGGTCCGGCAGCATCTGTGGAAACGAGAACAGAGTTAAAAAGGGTCACTGGACTCGAAAAGTAGACTGTTGCTTTCTCTCTCTCTCTCCCTCACTATCTCTCCAAAGATTCTTTCAGGCCTGCTGAATTTCTTCAGCAATGTCAGTTTCTTTTTTGTTTGAAAATTTCCTGCTGGTTTGCACATGTGTGACCCTGCTCCCAACCAAAAGTGTCCTGCCCATGGCTTCGTGGAAAGCTATCACTGACCAGATGTTGGCAATCAGGAAATAAAACGTTCAAAGTGCATGTTTGTTTAGATTGGATGCTGATGTAAATATGAACAACGTCTGTTAGTTACCACAGCTTGACTCTGGAGAAGTGTTTTCCAAGGCTACACACCTGTTGAGCTGTGGATTAGTCACTGGACTATCCTTTTTTAATTTTAAAAATTAATATCTAGATTCCACCTCTTGGTTTCAACTGGATCCTCTGTTGTGGAGCAAGCAGCATGTCCTGGAGTGGATCAGTTACCATGTCGAGAAGCACAAATATGATGCCAATAATATCGACCTGTCTTTCTGTGACATGGACGGGAGCACTCTTCGGGCACTGTCCAAGAACCAGCTGGTAGCTATCTTTGGTCCACTGGGTGAAGAACTGTACAAAAGCCACCAAGATTTAAGTAAAAACAGTAAGTAAAGCAATCATTGTACGATGACCATCTGCGAGGGGAAAGTGTGTGTTTATCCACTGGACATAGTCTCTGTCCTCGTGGGGAAATGCCCAGTGCAAACACTGAAATGAGCTGGGAGAGGGGAGGACAGTAATAACTAAGAAGCAACTGCTAGACTTCACTCAGTGACTGGTATGGATTTGCCACCCGAGAGAAATGGCAGCCTGCAGTTGACCATTTTTGATCTACAATGACCGTCATGCTAATACCAGCTGACTGTGCTGTCTTGTAAGTAAACTGGAAGCTAAAAGGACCGGCTTCAGTGAGCCACTTTGACAGTTAATTATCAAGTTGAATGAACATTGTGGTTGTTGAACTTGTTTTAAAACTTATGAAGTCAATACCAGCAAGATACTTTTTAGGTGCCTGAGATAACAAGGTGTAGAGCTGGATGAACACAGCAGGCCAAGCAGCATCAGAGGAGCAGGAAGGCTGACGTTTTGGACCTAGACCCTTCTTCAGAAATCTTCCACATATCTTCAAAAATTGATTCTTTTCCAAACTCCCATGACTCCCCTCCCACCATACCTCTCTTCCATTTACAACTCTAGCACCTCATGCCCTTGCCACTCTATCTTCCCAGTGAGCCACTTATGGCTCCCACATCATTAAGGATCCCCTTCCAATCAACTCTGGCCAGTTCCTCCCTCCTGTCTTAGTTGTTACATTTACTCAATGTCATTGTAATTACTTCATGGTAGCATCAGCCAAAGCAGGAATTGAACCTCCACTGTCAGTGTCACTCTTCATCAGAAACTGGCTGTCTAACCGACTGAGCTAGCCCATTTCCAATAAATGGTACCCGTTCCTGATTTTCCAGCTTAACTAATTCGATGATAAGGATATCCAGATGCTGGACTTGAAAGACATCACAAGCTAATGAAGTAAAAGCCATTTTCAAACGTTATTCCTTTTAAAGTCAGTGTAGGCTTCCCCCTCAGTTGGGAGTCAAAAATGAGCAGTGTTGCAGGAAACCAATTTTATTTTTAGGATCTCTTTCAGTTTGCACCTTTGTGATGAAACTATCGCTTATGAATCAGCAGGATTACAGCAGAAACATTAAATCACCCTGAAATACTGCAGGTCCAAAATATGAAATATCTATTCAGGCCCTTTGCTACTCACACAAACTGAAAATTCCCCTTGCTGTCTTTACTGAGTCATGCAGGGTTATAAAAACACTTTCTGTGCAATCATTGCAAAATACCATTCAGTTTGAGGACTATTCCCAAAGTACTGCTGTTGTGTGGAACAGACTGATAATCCAAATTAGATTTTCTAAATTACTTGCAATTCTGTATTGACATAATTGCCAAAGAGAAAGTAAAGAACGCTTTAGCAGTTCATTCATGAGAGAATTTGGAGCTTCTCATTATGACTGATTTAAGGGAATACAAGGGATAATTAAACTCCTGAGGGCTCACGACTATATATCTTCAACGTCTTAAGTAAATCAAAGATTTATTTGCTCAGTAATTCTGCAATATCTTCAGAGCTCTTGCTAATTACAGCACACAATGTACCACCCAATAAAAAAATGCTTAGAGATGATTTAATGAGAAAATATTCCAAACATCTTAGTAATGTCAGAACAATTTATAGCAATCTTTCATTCATTGGCAGCTGAACATTCAACTGGGGCGATATTTTGGAGTTAAACATAAAGGAAAGGATTCTCCCAAGCTTTTGGAGGTAGGTTCAGGAGAGAAAAGTTGTAAGAAGGTCCTGGAAACTGTTGGGTCAGGACCCAAAGTTTATTTTGCCCTCTTCTGGCTTTCCCTATGCAGGCGGTGAAGGAACAGAGGTTAAAGTTGATTAAAATAGTTAAAAATGGTTAAAGTTATTAAGAAGCCACTAAGGAGCTGTTTTAGCCCTGAACCCTGGGAGGTTTCAGCCATGAAACACTTTTCCCAAACTATCAATAACTCACCCGGATCACTGAAATGAGTGCATAGGGGGAAGAGCTTCATCAGCGAAACTACAAGGTATGAAGACTAAGAGTTCCAGCCATTGCCGGGGAAGAGGCTGCTGTTTCAGCACTTCTTCTCTCAGAGAGTGCACTCACTGCTTGGTAGGCAATTGGCAATTCACCTTCAGCTGCAATTCCCACTTGCTGGCCTTCAACATCGCATGGAAGCAGTTTTTGCAATTCCAACTTACATCTCTGCAACTCAGGTGGTCAACAATAAAAACCACACCAATTACTCCAGCTGTAACATGACCTATATTACTTCTTATCATCTGCATGCCCTTCTACAGGGTAGATTGGGTGTACATAGTTTCCAACAGAAGGAGGAGAGACCTTCAACTTAGGCCCTACTTATAGAGGATCAACTCTCCCAACGTGCCTGAGCACCAGAGAGCCAGGACACTCAACATCCCACGGCAGATCACTGCTGAGACCTAAAGTCTCTCAGAGCGGAAGCCCATAGGCAATGGAGCAGCCAGGGATGTGTAACTACCAGACAACAAATTGCTCATTACTGAATGGCAACCATCCTCCTCTGCCCATTCCCCTTTGGATCTCCACCTCTCACCAAGTCTTACGCTGTCTTCTGCAGTATTGAGAGAAAGCAGTGAAGACTTGAGTGGAGGGGAAGGGTGGACAAAATTTGTAAAATGTGTCTGTGAACAATGGGTGTGAGAGCGCAGTAGGCTGAGGGCGACTAAGGGCTTTGACTGTTGAGATGGTTATATGAGATGCCTGAAGATGGTCAAACGAGTAGAGGCTACAAGTTATCTTGGCCCGAGGAACACAGTACAGGAGAAAAGCAGAAAAAGCCAAAGTTTGGAGTTTTGATACCTGAAAGTAAGACCTGCTACTGATTCTTTCTCAGTATATGGGCATGCCTACTTGGTTGGAAAAGCTGTCCCCTTCCTTCTATCTTTGATGGAGCCCTAAAATGGTCAGATATCTGGTTTTGGTGGTGACTGTCAGGCTTCACATCTGTTATTTGGACTCTTTGCCCACTCAGCTTTGCAAAGCAATAGTAGGATGCTTTTGTCATTCCTTTCACAGTTTACAACAGCCATGATGTGACAGGGAGCCAAAAATAATGTTTGCCTGCATAACCTTTCCCCACCTCCCCCTTTTGTTGTCTCTCCAATGTGTGCATTGACACCATCCTGTGCATGATGTGTCTCGTTTCAATGGCCTCCATCTTGGCCACTCTACAGCCACTCCGATTCAGCAGGTCAAAGTGAGAATTGCAAGGAGCAGATTTCCCATGTCACCTTTCCAACCCCATCAGAGCTGCAGCCTCAAAATGTCAAGAGCCAGTGAGCTTTCCTGAAAGTTACTGCGGTCCCTTTAAATTAGAATTCATTCCTTTGAGACAAGGGGCATGTTACCCCACCCACCTGTGATCCATCATCG